ATGCTCATACAGACATAAATCTGTCCTGCAAATTGTTTAGTTTATAGATTGGAAGTAGTCCAGGTCCCACTGCAAGTCACAGCTCCACTGTCACATCCCCTCCCTGCCGCCACCGCCTGGCTATTCACAAGAGATTGGGGTCAGGTGAATGGTGAAAAGTAGAGGGGGCGGAGATGTGACCCTAGACCTGAGGTCTGACACCTGTAGCACTTCCTGGTCACTGTACAGTGGGAGCTGGACTACCTCAGAAATAGACACAATGGGGGGGGATTTATCAAAACTGGATCAGAGAATCTGAAGCAGTTGCCCATGGCAACCAATCAGCAACGCTCTTCAGTTTGCTCAGGATAGATTTTAAAAAAATAGAGAGATGCCGATTGGCTGCAGTGCAAATCTGCGGCAGATTTTGTCTGCTCCAGTTTTGATAAATTCCCCTCTGACTTGCAGGACATGGCAGTATGCCCGCACAAGACCGAGGAACAAGGTGTGACTGCTCCAAACCTGCAAAGGTAATCCTGCCAGGAGTTGAGCCTCAGGCCTGGTTCACATCGCAGCTTTCCGAGAACACACAGCAATTTGCGCGTTTCCGTGCGCGATTGCCACGCAGTCGCGGAATCACACAAGCACAAGACGCAATAAAATTCTAATGGCACCCCAAACGTGGCCCACATATACAGGCGCATATGGCCCCCCCCCCCAAAAAAAACAGGTCACTCATTACACAAACAGGTGCAGGTGCCATTTCATAACCCCATTGAATCAATGGGGCTGTGGCAAACAGTGCACAAATGCATGTTCCTGAGACGTGTGGCCCAGGGACCCTCACATGGGAACCAGGCATTCAGCAGGGACTGGGGAGTGGTTTTCCATAATTAACACCGTCAGTACTGTCAGATTATCAGTTGTAAATTAGATCTGAACACTGTCCTAACAAAGGGTTAAAGATCAAGACTTGAGGGGAATTTTGGAAACTCAGAGCAGATTGCCCATGGCAATGAATCAGCTTCTATCATTTTCAAAGCTTACCTGAACAAACTGGAGAGAGACGCTGATGGTTGCCATGGGCAACTGCTCTAGGTAAGAAGGATTTATTGTTTTGTAGGTATACAGAAGACAAACATAGCAGGCATTTCCCAATGTGACTGCAAAGGTGGAAATACACTTTAAACCCCCAGATGAGCAATGGTCTTTATACTGAAGGCCAGGCAATGACTGAGGTAATCCCACAACAGTCTATACTGCCAATTCCAGTATATAATACCACACGGAGCACAGGCCTTCACCAACAAACATGGTGAGCACACCTTGCTACATGCATGACAGAATGTACAGTCCCACAGTGACATGCATGTGTACAGTCCCACCATGACCTCCACCACATGCATCATATGTACAGTCCCACCATGACCTCCACCACATGCATCATATGTACAGTCCAACCATGACCTCCACTACATGCATGATGATATGTACATTCCACAAGGACAAAGCAAAGTCAAACACTTTCTATGACCTACCAATAGGAATCTACCAGCTTTACACAAAGAGGACCTGTCACCTGTGTACAGCCATTTTGTCAGCCGAGTCACAACCCACCCCGTCCTTTTATTGCCCAACTCTAAGGCCTTCTAGCAATCGGACAGCCTTCCATAAGAGTGACAGGTACTCTTAGATGGCCGGACTCGCACTGTTCCTAACAACTCATATTACAGCAAACATGAAAAGATGGAGGCGGCGGGGGGCCACTTCCTCCTCCCCTCACACAACCACCATGACACCCAGCCCAGCTACCACTGCCACTGCCACTGCCACTGCCACTGCCACTGCCCAGCCTCACCGTCCGAGCTCAGCTTCTCTCGGCCAGCCACAGCCCGTAGGAAAAATGGCGTCGTCTTTTTATGGCATACGGGCCCGAGCACGCCGGTCAGCTGACATAGATACAGTGTTCTGTCGAAACAACGCCCCTTATTTCATTCACACCACGTGACCGGACAAGGACTGGCAGCGTGCGCGATGCGGCCATGTTTGTTGTGGGCAAATGCAGGCGCTGCACGGTGTGTGTTGTTCGTAGATGTATTTCATTTTAGAGATTTGTGCCTGGAAGCGCCTCTGCTTTTCAACACTGATTGGCCTCTCTGTACATTTTGTGTGTTTTTCAGAAAAACATTATTAATCATGTTATGAATAAATAATGGTTACATTGACGTATCTGAAGCACTTACAGTTTTTTTTACTATTTAAAATAAAATGTAAAAAATAAAAAGGTAAAATAAAGCATTGCAGAATTGTGATCTGGTATTGTAGCTCAGCTTATATGGAAAATAAGCTACACAATATTTCAATATACAACGGGAAATATAAATGCAGGAAGTCGTTTTGAATGTTTTACCTTAAAGTGACATTAAACCCTCAGATTTTTTAACATAAAACAATACTGTAATGTGTGCCTTACTGTAATCCATGGTTGTTTCCCTTCTCTTTGCTGCTCTTCCTTTTAAATCATCATGTCTTCTCATGCTTGGGGAGAACTTCCCTTTGCAGCTCAGGGCCTCTTCCTGTAGTGCTGGCTCAGGTTACAAGCCTATACTTACCTACACACATACACCATATATCCATTCCTGAGACAAGGCAGTCTGCTGCAAAACAGAAGTTCTGCAGAGCATGAGAACAGATACAGATTTAAAAGGAAGAGCAGCAAAGAGAAGGGAAACAACCATGGATTACAGTAAGGCACACATTACAGTATTGTTTTATGTTAAAAAATCTGAGGGTTTAATGTCACTTTAAAAGAATCTTGTACTGTCACATATCAATGTAGAAAGTTTGTAGTTGAGGGACCGATTTAAATCTCTGTAATGCAGGAATGTATGCATTACGGCAATGCATACCGACACACATTACATGCGTTGACGTGTTTCAGTACCCTGAAACACACTAAGGTCTGGTTCACACCTGGGCGTTTTACAGCGAGTAGAGGCGCGCTGTAAAACGCTCAGCATGTGAAAACCAATAATTGCCTATGGGCATGGTTCCCACCTGGGCGTATTTCAGCGCATAGGAAGGCGCTGAAAAACTTCCTACGCCCAAAGAAGTACAGGAGCTTCTTTGGGGCGTATTTTCCACGCGTATCCATTAGGATACAGCCGGATAGCCCTCATAAACGCGCGTTTCTTTTACCGCAAATCGCTGTAAAAACGTGCGGCATGAAACGCGCGGCAAACGCGCATATTCCGTACGCCCAGGTGTGAACCCAGCCTAAGGCCACGCGCATGCACCTGTCCCTACTGCATGGAGCACACTGTAGAGCTGTGCCTATCCATGTGAATGAGGCCTAGTAATCAGGGGCATAGCCAGGGGGGCGTTTGCCCCGGGCCCCAAATTTTTAGGAGCGCTGCGGGTAGCCAGACCTCCCGTACCAGGCCTCATTGGGTCTGCACTGGTTGGAAGCCTCCACTGCTCTGCTTCTCTCTCATCCCCGCTGGGTGCTGGCTGCATGCTGCATTCTGTGTTCCCTCTAATCCCCACTCCTCTCCCCCTCCTGTATCAGCAGAGACAACGGGGATCAGGGGCGACACAGAGCGATCCAGGTGACTGCACCTAGCAAGGAGGAGAGAGCAGTGACAGGAGGAGTCAGGATGCCGAGCGGGGCTGTCCGGATGGAGAGCTGAGCTGTGTGGGCCGGGTGGAGCTTCAGGATGCCAAGTGGAGGATCAGCAAGTATGTGAAAGATTTGCTGATCCTTCCATGTACTGAGCAAACACCGAGTGATCAGTACTGATCGCTCCAGTGTTTGTAAATAACTGAGTACATAGTAAACTCACTGGGGGGGATTTATCAAAACTGGAGCAGACAAAATCTGGAGTAGTTGCCTATGGCAACCAATCAGCTTCTCTCTCCTGTTCAGGTAAGCTTTGAAAATGAAAGGTGGATGCTGATTGGTTACCATGCACAGCTGCTCCAGATTTTGTCTGCTGCAGTTTTGATAAATTTCCCTCACTATGTCCCCAGTTATGAATGAAGTGGAAGTGCTAAACATGACTTCCTGTTCATTCATGACTGGGGGACATAGTAATCACCTACTATGTGCTCAGTTTATGAATGAACAGGATCACTCAGTACAGAGGCTTCTTGTCCATTCATAACTGGGGAGAGTACTATGCCTTCTCAGTTTGTGAATGAATAGGAAGCCTCTGTACTGTGTGCTTCCTGTTCATTCAGTGCTGGGGCTGTAGAAAAAGAGATTAGGGACTATTTCAAAAGGGAAATATCATGGGTCTGTTTAGGCCCCTAATATTTATCTGAAGCCCCCCAACAGTAAAGTTAAAAAAATAATAATAAAAATAGTTAACTCCCCACACACAAACATACAATTTGGGGTAGGGGGGCGCAATACTTGCCTTGCCCCAGGCGCTGACAACCCACGCTACGCCGCTGCTAGCAGTGCAAAGTCAGACAAAAACAACTATCGTGCAAAACATTGTCCATTGATTTCAAAGCTAAAAGCAAGTTGAGTCTGCAGTCCGGCATTCAGTGTTTTTTTTGTATCTACCTGTTGAGGGTCCAAAATCCCATTTGGGTAAAAGCCTCAACATTTTTGTTTTCAGCTGTTTTTGTCAGCATCATACATAAGGCTTTGTACATGAGTTTCTTGTTTGTTTTAGAGGATTGCTTTTCTAATCCAAAATAATTCCCATCAAACCTGTTTTGTTTCTGTCACAGACACTCCTCTGTAGCACATGTAGGCAAGGTGTAACACACCTTCATAAATCCACATTTCCTTCTATGTAACAGCTCTTTGTGCTAAACAAATACGGCCATATTTTGTCTGGACAGTGTTCAACCATTCTCTGTCACTCAGTTCTGACACTCCCTCATGATATGTGCAGTGAAGGTTCAGGCTTTAGCGCTAGCTGTGACTTAGCAAAGTGAAGTTCTTAAAGGATAAGTGCACTTTAAAACAAAGCGCACTTTTTGTCCCCCACCCGGGATCTAAATGATCTCACACTTCCTCCTCTGCAGATCCGTACTTAACAAACTTCAACAGGCACTATTCCTTTATTGTTTACATCTAGCGCTGCAATGCTCCCTAGGCTAGCCACAGCTGAACATTACAGCCCCATAGACATCTATGGGGTTGGCTCTGGACATGACTTGCAGCGCTTATATCCCACTCCTAATAACCATATCCATCTAGAAGTTTGTAAAATGACTTATTGAAGATGCACTTAGGATGCACTGACACAATTTCACTTAGCCCACAGAGCCTTCTGAGCTACAACTCAACGAGTGAACAATGTAACATTATCATTACTTGCTGGAAGCAATGGCTTATGGAAGATGTTGTCTCGAGCTTGCATCACATCAAGCAGCAGAGAAAGAGATGTAAAGCACACTGAGAATCCAGGAAGTTGGTGGAAGTGATGAGCCGACGGAAGGCAGCACTCACTATATAAAAGGGATTTTTTTCAAGCTTCCAAGCTTTCATTGAATTATCAAAAACAACTCTAGTATGTATTCCTAATACAATTCTGATGTTATAACCGGAGAGGGTATGCTGGGACTTTACAACTCTTTAAAAGTTAAAAAAAATACTCAGCATTTAGTATTATTTTAAAGCCTTGGATCTCAATTGGTGGGTCGTGATCCAAAAGTGGGTTGCGACCCCGTGTTCAGTGGGTCGTCCCATGCCTTCCACTTTTCTAGGTGAGAGGCTCATCTGCCTCCCTCTTGCGCAGCACTGTCAGTTCTCGTGCCAAGCAGATATTCAAAATATCCAAAATAGCCGAGTGTCAGCTTAAGGTGGGATGGGATGGGCCGTGACGGAGCTCCATCAATACGTGCATTGCTTACAGCTCCCTCATGTGTTCTATAGAGGTGCCTGGACCGGAGTGACATAACATTCTGGCTCCCGGCACCCCTACAGGGCACACAGGGGAGCTGTACAAGCAATGCACATTCGGATGAAGCTCCGTCACAGCACAGCAGCCCACATTGGACCATAGGCTGAGGATCCACTCCAGCTCTCGGAAGGTAGGGAGACTGGGTGGACATTAAAAAAAATTAAATTAAATTTTTCTTTAAATTACACAGGTTGAGAACCACTGTTTTAAAGAGTATCTAAAGCCTAAGCTTTTTTAGTTTTAGATTGTAGAAGGGTACGTGCATTACATCAGAATTTTTTGTACAAGTCATTCTGAATTGAGAAAGCTGGTTGGATGACCAGTGAAACGTCTTCAAGGAAAAAAATTAAAATACAGCAAGTCCAGTTGCCTTGACTTATTTTTTTACAGATATACCATGACCTGGATGAATGAGAACCTTCACAGACACGTCGTCTTTTGAGACTCTCGGATGAAACAGCTGAGATACTTACCAATCAAGTAATACAAATTCAATTACCTTGGGTCAATGAAATTCTGAAAACATGACCTGGTGGGGATAATTGAGACCCAGAGTTGAGAAACGGTGTTCTATGGAGGCCACCAGAAATGAGTACTTGGCATCTAACATGGCACTGGACTGCACTATGGCCTGTAGTGTTAGTATTCACCAATCATGTAGCTCTTCTCCTCCTCAATAGCTTCTCCCAACCTGTTAGAACTCAGCACATCTAAGGTGACCATAAGTGCATGATCTGGGCAGCTTTGGTTGGATCAGGAGACCTGTGTGGACAATGCCTGCCTGGCCATACTCAAGAGAAGAATGGGTTGGAGGTTTCAACTGATTGCTATTGTTTCACTGAGATTAGTCTGGCATCCAGGGTGTCTGTTCGGCTGATATGAGTATACATATTTACTTACTGATGTTTCTAAAGAACAATCATTCAGGCTTCATTTACATCTAAGTGGTTCCCAGCGGTATAACGCAGTCAGCTACTGCAGGGAAATTGCAGCATAGAATTGTCATACAATTTTATCAGGTCGGTTAATATCATTGTACTGCAGTGAAGTGAGTGACAG